GGATGGAATAGAAACATAGTGAATACTAAATTGAAACAATTCTTTCTGAAAGAAGCCTGAAATCAGGCTTCCTTCAAAATCCCCCTTCTGTATTCTGTTTCCTGATCGGCTTTTTTTCTTTTTGAGAATACAGAATAGCCAAGAGGACTCTTTCTCAATTTTTATAAAATGCTTATTCGTAATGAGCCATGTGGCCACATGATGTCAGGATTGTCTCAGGCAAGAAGAATGATCTCGCCTTCAAGTTGGATCTACCTGGGATTATTAGAGAGACACCTCTGTCTCCTAACATGGTTCGTGCTCTTCTTCCCTTCATTTCTTAATATTGACCTTATGCCGCTGGCACCCCAAAGACCCAAGATCTTCCCCTCCTTCTCTCTCTCCCCACTTCTCCAGCCACCCACAAAAAGGGGAAGAGATGGCTTTTTGCACAATATCCGAACCCCAACTCACACGCTGCCAAGAGGCTCTGGAAAGCAGCGGCTGGGGACTGGGGAGGGTGGGGGGCCTGGAGGAGGGCCAGATGGGTGATGGAGCAGAGCATGCCCCAACCCCTTAACCCATTTGGGAAGGATTTGCTGCAGATCCACTGCTTGGCAGAGAATGTGTTGGTGGGCAGAAAAACACATTTTTGAAGCATAGGAGGCAGAACCTGCCTTCATATTGGGCTAGGGGCAAACTGAGGACAACATCAGGCATTCTTGTCCTTGAGCAACAGGCCAAGCAGGACATGTGTGTGATTTTGAGTCACTTTTCCCTGATTAGGCACCACCCAGATGAAAATCAGAGCCTCATGGTAGACAATTCTTCATCCCCTGCCCCATTTATATTACTTGCTTTGCACAAAGTTAGGCAGAAGTTTTGTCCTCCTATCTTATTTCCACTTCTAAAATCCCGTTAATAAGAGCACACCCAGCTCTTCGTGAAAGAATGTCTCTACAGTACTACAGTGAGATTTGGGAATTACTCTGTGCTTCCAAGACTGCCTTCTGACATCAAAGAGATAAAAACTTTCAGGAAAGGCTATTCCTTCCCTGCTAAGAGTTTTCCAGTCTTGTGTCAGGAGTATGAAGTAGACCATGCTCCTCTTTTGAAATAAGTGAAGAACATATGAAAACAGAGAATCAGTTCAGTTCTGGAACTGAGAAGGAAGAAGTCCAATCCAATGGCACTGACTCTTCAAGACCACAAGGGGGCAGTAGACTTGAAGTTGAACTCTGCTTCCCTCTTTCTCCATCACTTTGCTGCCCCAGCATGCTGGGGAATTCTGGGTGTTGAAGTCCACACATCTTAAAGTTGCTGAGTTTGTTCAACACTGGTCTCAGATTACTATTCTGAGGTCACTTCCTTCTGCCCCTCTTCCTGCACATGCTTTTTGACTATCTTCCAGGTAGGATGTAACTAACAAGGGGTGTGGCATCCCTGTCATGTATTTCCTCTGGATAAATCTCCTTTCTCTCTCTCAAAACCTGCTCGGGTGAGATTCCTGCTTTCATGAGTGCTCATGATGTATGTGCCTGCACAATCTTGCAATCTCTAACAGCCTTTGCTAGCTACAAGAGATCTTAGGAGGCAACATGATGCTGCTGAATACCCCTGGACCCAAGAAGCCCTCTCCCCACTTTTCCTGACTTCATTTATTTTTAGCCTCTTCTGATCAAAGGATGTGACAGAGGAGATGGGGAATGACCTTTCCCTTGGCTTTCTCACAAATGGGTGTTTTGTGGCAGCTATTTTGGGAGTTGGGAAGCCCCACCCCAGCAAGTGTTATGCAAAAAAATCTCTGGTGTATCCTCAAAATTCAGAATTGTGCCCCCAAAGAAGTGAGAATAGGCATTATGAAGCTCCTGCAATGATTCTAGAGCAAGCGCATAGGCCTTTATGTCATTTAGTCCAGCCCATAAAAATAACTGAATTTGTATTATTAGATCTCTTTAGGTAATAAGTTTGGTAACTTGGTAAATGGCTGATGAACTGCTCTTATAGTTAGGAAGGAATTTTTTTAAAAGTTTGGAATCTGCCTTCCTGTAACTTAAATCCTTGACCTTCTGTGTGAGTTCCTTTCAGGCTTTTGAAGAATGTTCTACAAGAAGACATAGATGTGCAAAACAGTGACATGGCCAATCTCCATTATGGTGATGTGTGTGTGAATGCTGTCTACATCTAGAGATTTCCTCTCTAAAAGTAGAACATTCTGGCCATGGCTGAGAGTATCACACTGAGTTTTTCCATCAGTTTTACTTACATTTACCAAGGTAAAGTTTTTAGTGTATTTTCCAAGAGATCTCAGAAACAGTAAACAAATACTGCTTCAATATACAGAAGAGTCAATGTTAGTTTTTGTCCACCAAAGTGCTTTTAAAAAACCATAAAGATTGAAGCCACCATAAATTTGGGCAAATTTATTTTATTAGATTGGGTTCTGAAATGATTATACAGTAGTACATGGGAATCTTATGTTTCTTACAGTTCAGGCCTAAAGTAGTATGAGGAAAATATACTTTTGGGTGAAAGAAGCAAGTTTTTGGGTGAAAGACACAAGTTTTTAGAGGCCTCAAATGAATGGGATCGCCTTAATAAAATTTATCCCCATAGCAACTTAAGGGAGGATGCCTTCTTCCTGGCATTTGGCACCTTGAACTAATT